CATATTATTGCCCCCCCCCCCTTCCCCACCCCCTCAATTAGATGCGAAATCCCCGGCTACGGGAAGGATAGCTATGAGATCCAAGGCCCTGTACACGCGGAGATCGTGGACATGAGCATCCCGCTAGGGGGAGACGACTCCGACGGGCCGTACCAGGAGTGCTACGTGTACACAGACGTGAACGTGACGGCCTTGACCCATGCACGCAGCGAGAACGTGAGCGGACAGCTCCTGGTCAACGTGAGCTCGCCCGACAGAGGTACCCGCTACTGCCAGAAGTGGGTGTATGATACCAGTGAGTTCTACAGCACCATGATGACGGAGGTGAGCAGTACAGAGCAGTTTGGGGTCTTTCTTTCTTCTTAATTTCAACTATTGGCTGCCCGTCTGTTTATTGTTCAATCTGTGACCTATCTGTTTGTTGTCTTGTCTGTGACCTGTCATCATTTCTCCCACCCCCTGCTTCATTGCGTCCGTTTGTCGTTCTGTCTACGTCTGTTTCTGCATCAGTCTGTGTGTCTGGGTGTCAAAGATATCTCCCGCGTCTCTATGTCAAAGATATCTCCCACGGCTGTCAGCTCCCCACAAAGATATCTCTCGCGTCGCGTCTCTGGGTCAAAGATATCTTCACGTCTGTGTGTGTGTCAAAGAGGTCTGCTTGCATCTGTGTGTCAAAATATCTCTCACATTATGTGTCAAAGATATCTGCTGTGTCTGTGTGTCAAAGATATCTGCCGCGTCTGAACGTCAAAGATATCTGTTTCGTCTGTCGTGTTTGTGTGTCAAAGATATCTCTCGCGTCTCTGTGTCAAAGATATCTCCTCGCGTCTGTAAGTCAAAGATATCTCCGCGCGTCTGTATGTCAAAAATATATGTTGCGTCTGCCGTGTCTGTGTGTCAAAGATATCTCCTGTGTGTGTGGGTCAAAGATATCTTTCGCGTCTGCATGTCAAAGATAATATCTTTCGCGTCTGTCAGCTCCCCACAAAGATCCTTGGGGGTCACACAGAGACTGCGCCAGTCTGCAAGCACGGAGCAGGAGCGGCCCCGGACGGGGGGATATGAGGGCCAAAGTTTTCCTCCACATCGCTTGTGTTTGCTAGCTATCGATCTCCGGGACTCAACGTGCTGGCCGCTCAGCTCGACAGCTACATGCTTGTACGTGTGTGTGTTTGTGTGTGTGTGTGTGTGTGTGTGTGTGTGTGTGTGTGTGAGTAAGTGCTTGAGAACATGTCTGTATGTATTTGTGTGGGTTTATGAACGTGTGAGTGTGTGTGTGTGTGTGTG